CCAACGACATCCCACCTCAACCTACCCATACCTTACCCCTCCTAGTCGGTGTCGGTCTCCTTGCTGGGTCCGCAAAGCTGTTCCTCTCCCACCACACCACGGCACCACAATAGCTCGCCAACTTCAAGGTACATTGGGCAAATCCACAGCTGACACCCAAGTACTGCAACAAAAGAGACCAACTAAGGCACCTAAGGTCCAACGGTACTCTTGGAATCTGTGCCAGTCCGGATCGCTCGGAAATTGAGCTACATATGCGTACACCAGTGACCAAGCTACCAACTCCGTGAAGTTTGAACAGCCTCCTAAGGGGTACCAAGTACAGTGCTCGACCCTCGCAACATTGCGCTTACCTATTGTCGCTGAGGTGTCGTCGTCCTCCTTGTCCGCCGCGTCTAAGCCTCCCTCAATCCCCGTCGCCCCCGACTTTCCTCTTTGCTCAAAGCTCCGTCCGCAACGTTGCCCCTCCGTCGCACATTCACTGCCCACGTAATAGACCCGGTCTCACTGCGTTATCCATCAACCTCTCTGTACCCGTACCTGGCTTCGACAGTCCTCTCGACTTTGCTCTTCTCGTCTTTCTGCATTGTTACTCCTTGGCCGCCAACCGCATAGACGCCAGTCCCTGAACTCTCCATCAGCCGCGTAACCAAAGTAGGTACCTACCCTAGTCTTTCCCCAATCCTCACAACCCCTCCATACCTTAACTCCCCTCCGGCGCATGTCAGCCACCCAGTCTGTCCCTCCCTCCCGTCACTTCAACCTCCGGCGCAAGCCATATTCCGGCCATCCGCGCATCACTCGGCTTGACTCTTTTTACCTTGCCAAATTTCCTCTCCAACCCGCCGCCATTTGCCAATGCACTACACTGTGGGATGACCCTGCTGACCCCGTCTCAGCACCACCAATATAGTCCGAAGCATTGACTGACGTCGTCGACTGATGCCGGTCTGTTTGAAACCACAAACCTCGGCTTTGCCTCGAATTTTCACGTTTTCGCAAAGCTCCCTCCAGTACGCTTCGGGGACTCGCCTTGCACAATTGCCATTGACTTCGCGGTTTGGACGGCAGCTCCTAGTCAGACCCTGTGTTCGGAAATACAACTGCCCCTCCAAGCCCTCAAATTACAGACGATTCCAACCACTCGGATCACCACAGTCACCGGGCCTCCCCAACCTCAAGAAACCCCGTGTTCTCCTCGAGTCACGGGTTGACATCGTCCTCTGCTCCATCGCCGTTGCTCTTGCGTGCGCATACGGCCTATTTTATCAGCAAATCACCGGTTCCAAACCTGACCCTCAACCAGACAACGAAATCGCAGAATCTCATCCATTAGAAGTCATGGCGACGGACATTCCCGCTGGGAGACCGGGTAATCTCACGCCGGAGCAGGAGGAAAAGTTGCGCCAGCTGTGGCATCTCATTCTGTCCTTGGGCGAGGAGACCAGCACCGCCGCTGCAGACAACGCATCTGCTAGCATAGCCCCGAGCGAAACGTCGGCTGCCGGAAAAGGCGACAAGCCCAAGAAGAAGCGCACTTCATTGTTTGGCCGCAAGGACAAGAAAGAGGGCGCCGCGACATCGACAGCCATTCCAGCTGGTATCAAGGAGGATGGCGAGGACAAATACGGTCAAACGCAACAGTTCAAGGAGGCTTTGGCCAACCAGAGTCCCGAAGCTTTGCGCGCTACGATATGGTCGATGGTCAAGCATGACCATCCCGATGCCCTTGCCCTGCGATTCCTGAGGGCGCGAAAGTGGGACGTTGAGAAGGCTTTCGTTATGATGATCTCCACGATGCACTGGAGATTGACGGAGATGAAGGTTGACGACGAGATCATGAAGAGTGGTGAGGCTGGTGCGCTCGAAGCTGCGCAAAATTCCGATCCCAAGATTAAGCAGTTGGGAGAGGACTTTATGGCCCAGGCTCGTTCAGGCAAGACTTTCATCCATGGCCTTGATAAGGGAGGACGCCCGATCTGCCAGGTCAGAGTGCGCATGCATAGACAGGGGGAGCAATGCGAGGAGAGTCTTGAGAAGTATACTGTCTTCTTGATTGAGACAGCTCGTATGGTTCTGGCTCCTCCCGTCGACACTGCTGTAAGTTTATCTGTGTTTTGGCGGTCTGGCTTGTGCTAACCTGTGCTAATCGGACAAAGACAATCGTTTTCGATATGACCGGCTTTTCACTGGCAAACATGGTTAGTCATCCCCATACAGCGCGACTTGATGGGATATTTCCTGACCCTTGCTCTAGGATTACACCCCTGTGAAGTTCATGATCAAATGCTTCGAGGCAAACTACCCCGAATCTCTCGGTGCTGTTCTGGTGCACAAGGCCCCGTGGGTCTTCCAAGGTTTGTTTCCCCCATGATTGGTCTTAAGTAACACAACTAAAGGATGACCAGGTATCTGGAAGATTATCAAGGGTTGGCTGGACCCGGTCGTAGCTGCCAAGGTCCACTTCACCAACAATGTCAAGGAAATGTCAGAGTTCATTGAGCCAAGCCACATTCTCAAAGAGCTCGACGGCCAGGAAGACTGGGACTACAAGTACGTGGAGCCAGTCGCCGGAGAGAATGATAAGATGAAGGATACGGCAACAAGAGACGCGCTTCTTTCTGGAAGGGAAGAACTGGTCCACGAGTACGAGGAGACAACCCTCCAGTGGATCAAAGAGGCCGGGACAGACAAGGAGGCAGCCATCAAGGCACAGCGGGAGGAACTTGCCCGCAAACTCAGGGATGACTACTGGAAGCTCGACCCTTACCTCCGAGCAAAGTGCGTCCTGGATCGGACTGGCGTTATCCAGGATGGTGGCAAGATCGACATGTACTCCAAGGGGGCACCTGCTCCCGCCACTCCCGCTCCCGCTGCAGCAGCTCCTACGCCGGCTTCCGCACCCGCACCCGCGCCGACTAACGGAGCTCCCGCGGTCGAGACATCGGCCGATGATGTAGACTAGAGACCGGCACAGCCGGCATTAGATTCACGAAGGACGTACACGCAGGTTATGAGAATTGATCGGGGGGATAAAAGAGGTTGAAAGAGCCAGGGACGTTGAATTACGGGGAATTGATATCCCTGCTATTGAGTTGAGGGCGGGGGTGTTGATAATACCAAAACTGGCTTCTCTACATCTTGGACTTGATATCCTCAAAGAGGGCCTTGAGCTTGTCCATATCGGTCGCCTGCTGGGGCCAACCCACGCCGAGACCCTCAGTCTCATTTGGCTTGGGAATCTCCAACTGGTGTCAGTACGAGAATTGCAGGCGGTGGTGAGAAGTGTTACCATGTGGAAGTGAACCTATGATAATTAGCTATGATGAATGGCAAGGTGGATGAATAAAGGGGGAACACTCACGTGGTCAACCATTTGGTGAGCGATGCGGCCGTTGTTCTGGAGGATGTTGTAATCGGTGGCACCGGTCGCGGCGACAAGCTTCTTCACAACAGGCTGCAATAACGCAAGGGGTCAGAATGAATACACAAGGGGGCGCGAGAGAGGCTGGTGGAAGGCCTACGAGGAGTTCGCTGAGCTGATCATCGGGGATATCAGCCAACTTGGCGCCGTGGTGCTTGGGGATGACAAGCTGCGGAGACAATGTAAGTGGATATTTCACAGGATGATTATTACATGGGTGAGTTCTTACAGCATGGCCGCGGCTGAGGGGGTTGATGTCGAGGAACGCGAGTGTCTTTTCGCTCTCAAAGAGCTTAAAGCAGGGAATTTCGCCTGAAGGGGGGCGAAATGTCAGTTGATTCTGCGGTAGCGGGGGTTCGGAGATGTCTTGGGGTTGGAATCAGATGAGGAGCGGGAATGGGGACGAACCCTTGATGATCTTGCAGAAGATGCACGAAGCCAGGCTGGACGTCATGATGAGAGGATGTTGAATCTTGCTTTCGTATTCGAGAATTGAAATGGTCTAGACAAAGTTGAGAAACCACCGTATCAATTGCGAGAGGGAAAGGTGAGTGAGGATGATGAAGTTGAGCAAAGGAAAGGACGGGATTGAAGAGATGCGGAGGGCATATGCAGTGAGGTGGGCGGGGATACGGAAGCTGAGGAAGCTTGTGTGGGGTGGTTCGGGGATTGCTACGACCGGGAGATAGTGTGGAAGGTACTTGGAGAACAAATTACTTCCAAAAAGTCGGAGTGGGACCTCCTATCGAACTCACCTCTTGCCTTTTACCAGATGTGACCGTTGGATGGCCCAACAGACTCCATTCCACCAATCTTTGGCACACCCTCATCTGGAGTACCCAGGTTCGAAATTTTGTTTTTTGAGTTCTGAATGTCTTGCTCGACAGGATCCAGTTGTCGCTTTTTCTCTGCGACGGATATTGCAGCTTGCAGTGCCTTTTTTGTCATGCTACAATTGAATTGCGCATCAACCTGTCAAGCCGCGCGCGAGGTCTTGAGGGTTAGAAGACAGCGCCCGACCAACACAGCGAGCGCAGCGCACGGCGTGGAGTTGCTGAAGGAGCTGCTGGGCTACCTACTGCCGGGCTGCTGCACGGGTGACCTACCTGGCGCATCTGGAGACCTGATCCCTGGCACCATCGTCGTCATACCCCTCCTTCTGCTGCGCAAACGCCAGGTCCTTTTTTTCCTACCCAAGCCGACGTAACCCCACCTTGGAGTGACTGAACAGCCCTGGCCGAGTCTTTTGCTCGGCACCTGGAAGCAAGGCAGCCAGCCAACATAAGGCGGGCAGTCAGACCAGAACGCCGTTGCTCTTCCTGAAGTGACATTCTTGTTGCAGTAACCTTCTTGTGATACCCAGCCCGTCCCGCGTCCTCATTGATTCCCGCCTTACAAGCTCCGTCAGGCTACCTTACAAACTACACCTTGAGCACATCGATCGCACCTGTTGCGCCAGCCCGTGTATCTCTATTACAACAGCACCTACGAAGGAAGCCCCGTTTTACGAGAAGAGGGCAGGTTATTCTATCGAAGCAACTATCTGCAAACGCACCCATCACCTGAAGCAAACACCATGACCCGATACAAAAGCACCCCTCTCTACGGCGGCGCTCTAGTCAGCGACTTGCCCGACAAGTTCGCCGACGTCAGGTTGGTCCCCTCCCTATCTCACGTCCCTCGTCTTCCTCTTGTCACTCTCTTTCAAGCTCCCAGTCACCCGCCATACCCTATATATATATGCAGTAGACTAACAACCCTTTCCCAAAAACCACAGCAAACTCCGCGAGGTACCCGACAACCAAGAAGTCTGGATCGACTCGGACGGTTTCACGAGCATCATCTTCGACATCACGGAGCGCGTCGGCCCCGCGGGCTCGAGTCCCGAGATCGACGGCCGCGCCCTGACGACGCACCTCGAGGATCTCGTCGGCGAGGACGTCGACACCGTCAAGGTCTGGAACACGACCGAGACCTCCTTCTCGCGCCTCAGCTCCGACATTCCCGCCTACACCCTCATCGCGACGCAGACCCCGCACGCGAGCAAGTCGTCCCGTTCGTCGTCGTCGTCGGCGCCCGATTTCACGGCCATCATTCTTACCCTCGTACGCCTTGAGAAGGAGTCGACGGATATCTTGGTCACGATTAACGTGCCGCATATCAAGGGCGAGTACGACGAGGCCGATGTCGATTTGGAGCTCGGCAAGCAGGGAAAGCTGATTGGCGACGCTGTTGAGTATGCTGCGCGTATTTGGGAGACGTTCAAGGTGAAGGACTGGTCTTTGTTCCAGGAGGTTTGAGAGGCAGAAAGAGAGAAGGAGTGAAAAGGGATTCGATGAGATAAAACGGAAGACGGAATATGGATATCCCTAAAGTGGAAGACGGATCGAAGATGTGAATGGCGAGGAGGTGCACGCCGCATGAAAAAGCAGTTGACAGATTTGGGTAGTTTCCTTCCACCGTCGGGTTACGTGAACACGGCGGGAATGACAGGCGGCGAAACTTGACGATGAAACGAAATGAAAGCCACGCCATCTCTTGGGTTCTTTAGGTGTCACTAGTTGAGTTGTTCTATGCTGAGAATTATGATGTCAAGAAAACAACATCAGATTTGTGAATGTATATATTTAAGAACTCTCCCTATGTTATGATCTTTTGGGTCACTGCCTCTTTGGATGTAAACAAATGTTGGATAACGAGAGAATTATTTTTTTATGAACTGTTGCTAAGCTACGTGTACACATCTTACGAAAGCTAGGTCGACGAGCCACAACTATCGTACTGGTCCCTAGTATATCGACGGAGCTACACGAGCACAAGAAGTCGAACAGTGATCACCATTTCGTGCAAGATTACCTCCACCATACTAGATGATAGTCGTCACCTTCGTTTCGGATAATTCAATCCGCCTTACGTTGACAAAGACGTTCGAAACCCAGCATTTGAGTTGTATCTTGTTCAGCAAGGGGGAAAATAACGGCGTCGTCTTATAGACCTTGGCAACGATTATCTTGCCCATGATGGAGCCGGTGCGTGATACCAGAAATGTGAAAAGTTCTTGGAGAACTACCGAAAATCGCCGTAGATGGAAGTTCAACTTGAAAACCTGTAGCCTTACTTGACTGGCAAAATTGACGTAACCTGAGCTCTGGAAAAACAACCCCGTTGATTAGAAATCACTTTGCGGTTGGGACTTCGCCAAAGTCGATCGTGATAAGTTCATCATGATTAATGACACCATTGACGTTGCGCAAATATCGTCGTAGCGCTCTTGTGCATATAGATAGAGCAACACGAGAAGTGATGGTCTAGTTTGAAACCTCCTACATTCGACAATGTGTAGAACACTACATGACCATCCGCTTTACGGTCATCCTCCCCTCTATGGTCGTCTACTTCCCGGCCACATGCACTGCTTAAGAACTTTTCTCGGTCGCTCTTTGAGGCTCTCTCCAATCTCCTTGCAAATAGGGCATTTGGCCAGTGGGAGTATATATACTCTATTGGATTAATACCGTGGAAACGATATCGAGAACAGCCCAAGCAGCCAGCAAAGGCAGAATATAAAAACAAATACTCTATTGGATTGAAGCCTAGTTCATAGATTCTTCCCTCCTCGGCAGTTATGTGGTCACCAGCGACCGCAAGTTGGTGCTGAGCGTGCGGGTGCCAGCTGCGTAGGTCATCTGCTCAATGTGAGGTCATCCCAAGGTAAGTAGCCTTGTCACGCTCCACCTGGGCGGTCTCGTACTTCGTCTATGCTAGCTACTACGCCCAAAGTATGTTCCTTGTACTATACCTAGAGAGTATTTGCCATCGGCGAAAGAAGAACATTGACGGTAGTTGCGGCAGAGATAACGAAAAGAAAGGTGTCGAGCGGGGAATTCGTATATCAAGCCGCTTGAGCAACTGTGTAGCATATCAGATACACATCGGTAAGCTGGCCCTAAACAGTAACCATGTGCTTGCTTCCCTGTCACTCGATGAACTCAGACGGGTTCCCCTTTATTGATGATGACATTGTCAATGCTTATGATGATGGTGTTCTGCGCCACTGGATAAGAATTGGAAAAACCATAAGATTTGGTGATCAATCATGAAGCAATGGGCGATTAACTCTGTCGACTCTGCTTGATTCCAACGCCAATTCCTCATGTCCTCCTACAACGTCAAATCTACCAGCTGAGAGCCAACCTTGTTCACATCCGCCTCCGAATCGGGGGTTGCCCGGGCACTGCCACCTCGCTTTGCCCACCGTTCTGCAATGATCTTCATTACCTCCTTCTGTTGGCTACCAGGGTGCTCCTTCTTCACCACTTTCATTTGCTCCTTGAAGAACTGCTGATACTCGGACGGCTTCCCGGCGGCTCTTGGTGTCGGTTTCGTCTGCTTCAACTGCGCCTTGCAGGAGCCACACCGATGGCGTTCGGGGTTGATGCTCTTGGAGTGGCGCTTGTACTCGAGCCCGCATTCGGTGCATTCCCACATGTACTTGAAATCGATCTCGTACGAGTGCTTCGTCGTCACCTCGATGCCACGATCCCCGAACCGCTGTGAGCACTTGACCGCCCAGATCTTGAATTCTTTGCCGTGCGGGTTACCAGTGATGCCGTTGACCATGAAGTTGGCCAGATGGCAAAACTCGTGTGCGACGACGTTGAGGAGGCGATTTTCGTCATCAATCACCTTCTCCGCGAGCTCAATGGAAGCATGATGCTTGTGCGTGACCGATTTCTCTGACCCGTCGGCGTTCTTGGTACGGACGGTTTCGCGCCTCCAGTTCGCTCTTCCCGCTGTGGTGTTGAGTTTGGCCGACCACTGGATCTTGACTCCTCCTGTAGACTCTGCTAGGGACTGCAGTTTGCCCTGGGTGATGGTATCGTCAAGTTCTTGGAGGAATGTCTGGGCGATGTCGTGTTTTCTCTGCTCGAACGCCTTCTTGCTTTCTTTCCGGTTGGCCGTATTTGTCTTCTGTTCTTTCGCTTTTTTGGGACTTTTCGCCGGACTCCTTTGGGCCGGAGGCAATACTAGTTTCTTGGGCGAGTGCTCCTCGTTCCACTCGTCCACGAACTCCTGACTCCAGAACATATCCATACCAGGCCCATGGGGTGTCTTTGGAATACCTGGGAGCTTCTTAGGGGATATCAGTGATTTGGTGGATGGCCTTGGCGGTGTCAATGGCGGAGTTTTTGGCGGAGCATCATCTTTTCTAGCCCTGCCTTGCTTCTTTGGTGGCTCGGCTGTGCTGCATTTTCATGTTAGCAAGGCAACAATGCCACTTACGAGGTGGCTCTTACATATCTAGCCGACGAAGAGCATCTGCCATATCGTCAGTGAGGTCAACGATCGTTGATTGTGGCCGTGTCGTTTTCCTCCCGGGCACACTTCCGGTGCTTCGTTCCTTCGCTTTGGTGGTCTTTTGAGGTCTGCTAGGCCTGGAGTCTGGGAAGTCGATTTCTGGTGCAGGTTTTGTGACTGGCTGACGCTCCTTCTGTCTCGGCGCGGTTGTCTCCTGACTGCGACCCGATACTGGACCACGAGCTCTCGAAGCCGTAGAGTCGTGCCCAAAGAGTGTCGGAGTCCCATCGTCCTCGAACTCTGATGCAGAATCACCAAAGAATTCAGAAATGTCGGCCTCGGTAATTTCAGTTTGCTCGTTGGTGCTGCCGTCTGATTCATCGTCTGACTTTGATGATAGGTTCCCCGTCGGCGTCACGTCTCGGCTTCTGACGCGCAGCTCCCTCACACCTACACGAGGCACCTCCTTGGATTTGATAGGAATATCGAATAGATTCTGTCCCTCATTTCTCGAAAAAGTTCCGAATGGCCTCAATAAGGCGTTGTCTACCCTTGCACCAAGCTTCCGGCGTCGCACAGTCGGCGGCGCAGCCTTGACCGTTGATTTCCCGGCATCCGAATCTTTCGAGTTTGATGCATTCCACTGAAGAGCTTCTTCTTCGAGCTGTCTCGAGGGTGAAGCATCGTCGTCGCTATCAATGCTATTGGTCGTTGTTTGAGCAGGTGCTTTGGTAGGTCGGCGGAATTGTTTACTCCTTTGCAGGACGGCATCTAGGTCGGGGAATTCGTCCTCACTAGACGAGGCAAAGTCGACATATCCAGCCATGGTGTCGATATGATTGCCGATTGTAGCTGTAAGTCAGATCCTCTCTCCGATTCCGGTACTTTGAGCTTGGGTGTGGCTTGACATTGCACGAAAGTGTTGCAGAGCCGTCTTGTAAGGTAGATCGGTGCATGTCTCTTCGTTGCGAGGGGCAACCGCCTGCTAGAAGTGGAATGGTCATTCTGGAAGATTGCCCAACCAGGCTGGTGGAAGGCCACACAGCACGTGACTTACGAGCGAAGGCAAACAGACACGTGATAGCACTGCATAATGAGTACTGTTTAAATACCTATCGGGTATAAAATATGGCAAAGCATGAATCGAGATTCGAGTAAGCTTTGGCTGGGAATTAAGAATCACTGACACTGAAGCTGTGCCTCGAATTTCACGTCTTCTGAAGGTCTCCAAGCGCAAAGCCTCCCGTTAGAGCATCAACTGTCAGGACTCTAAAGTCTGGAGAAGCAAGGAGCTTTCAGATCACGGTTCGGACCAAGAATGGCGGCCGTTCGAGAGGCTAGTCCTGGGAGTGGCAGGCCCCAGGTACCCCTGCAAAGCTGAAGCTCTAATGCATTCAAGAATCCGACTGCACAGCCCTGCACGGAACAACAGAAGACGTTACAGAGATGTCCATCAGGGACCATTACCAAGAAAGGAGAGAGACCTTGAGTACACCGACCTTTGCTAGCCATTGTCACGAGAGAGGCGCGTCTCACAGGTCGGTGGCCATGAGGTAGATCTACGTTCTACCAAGGACAGTGATAAGATGCGACCGCCGATAGGATGTCCTGTACTCCGTAATGCAGTGGCCGATCAGGGACGGGGAATGCTGTGTGTCAAAACACCGGACCGCATCTGAGCAGGCAATCGGCACGCACGGAAATTTGATCCCTCTGCCCCAAAAGACAAAGTACCAATTATTACTGTGTGGTACGGAGGGGACCCAGCCATATGGAAGCGCGCATTGTTCAGGAAAACAAGATGAGACCCGCTCCCGTCAATGGAGAGTCGCCAGCGTCCCGAGACTATCATACTCTTGCCGAAAGGCCTACGCATGGTCTTCAGGAGTCTAGATGCCACGCCGTCATAAGGTCTTCGTACAAGTAGACAAGGAGAGAAAGGAAATGGGGAGAGATATGCTGCCCGTGGAGAAGAAGGCCGCGCGGTACGGAGTACGGAGCA